AGAAACTCATGAATAAATATAACACCAAAACAATATGGAAGATGGAACATGAATGCTCTGATACCAATGTTAGTGAAAATAGATGGTGCAGATGAAACCAAACGCGAGATCAAAGAGGAGGTATGCCGTGAGGTTGGTGATTGCAGAGCTCGGATTTTAGAGTAGAAACTTCTTTTTTTTTTTTAGAAAGAGAGAAGAAAGCTATCTATTTATAGAGGAAGCTCTGTACCATTTTTTCTTTTCGGTGTCTTCCTCTCTCTGGCTTCCCATTTTTATAGGGAGAATAAGGGTTAACGGTTATCTTTGTCCAATAGATCTCTAAGAAAAAATCTTTCCTGATCTCAAGGATATTCATCCAACGCATCCATATGAACGTTGGACCATATGAATGTTGGAGATAATTATAATATGAGATTCTTCCAAACCCATAATTCATGTGGGCCCTCATAGCCATACGTGTCAACATCCTCCACCACCCCCACCATAGCCCAAAATCGAGATGTTTCAAATGCCTGCGTCAAAGCACCTTGCAAAGGAGGCAAGGCCCTTACCATACTTGAAACCTACTGGTGGGGCCCACCCTCCTCAATTGAGTGACAGGGGGAGAGTGGAGACTGAAGAGGAGAGGAGGCAAGGAAGAAGAGGAGGCAAGAAGAGATGCACCATCATGATCATGGTCATAGGAGTCATGAATTGGGGATTGGGGTTAAGGGGCATTCGGGTTCAGGGATGAGGGGACCGGAGAAGAAGGGGGGTAAGAGGGTTGAGAATAGGTTGAAGAAGCAACATCATTTTAATGCAAATTGAAGTTTAAGAATGAGCTTCCGGATCCCACTGCGCAATCTAAGTTATTGGCTTTGAAAACAGATAAATCATGAAAAGTTGGGAATTTACACGCAAAAAAACAATGAAAAGTTGGGAAATTAAAAAAATAAAAAAAAGGAAAGAAATGCTAACTGATTTTCTACAAGAAAATGCCCAAAAATATTTAACCCAAAAAAACAAAAAGCCTAAAAAGCACTTACTGAAAATCAATTCACAAAAGCTATAACTTCCAATAATATCCACAAAATAAAAGTAATTGACCAAATAATAGAGTTGGGGCTGTAGTGGTAATACCATCGAAGCCACTGCTAAAGGTCATGTCATCCATTCTCACTCTTTTTCATAAAAAAAAAAAAAGGTCATGTCCTTCATTCTCACTCACCTTCATAAAAAAGAAAAGTAATCGACCAACCTGAAAAGAAGATCACAAGAAAAACCGACCCATGTAAACTACTGTGTAAACTACTCTTTGCTTAATCACATAAAAAATGAGCCTAATCGTATTAGTACTTAGTCATCTCTTATATCTCAACACCTATGTTATCTTCGTGTGTCTTGGTTGGTAGGAAGAACTATGAATTCTTACCTTATCTCAACACCTATGTTATCTTTGTGTGTCCTGGTAGGTAGGAAGAACTATGAATTCTTATGGAAACCTATGTTATCTTTGTGTGTCTTGGTAGGTAGGAAGAACTATGAATTCTTATGAAAAGAAGGTATGGGGTTTTTTGATATGACATCTGAGGCACTTTGATATGACATCAACAAATTAGATATGCGCATTTGCTAAAAGGAAAAAAGGTACAAACTCTAACTTAATAATGATCAGGAAAGAGGGTTCAAACTCGAACTTAATAATGATAAGAAAAGGATATGCGCATTTGCCAAAAGGAAAAAGGGTACAAACTCTTAACTTAATAATGATCAGAAAAGTAGAAAAGGTGAGATGCTTGCCTTACAACTAAAATGTAAAAGCAAGAAAAGCCCCATTATTCCACCATTTTATGACTACAAATAGTGACATAAATCTTGGGAAAATCTGGCTAAAGTTCTTAAAAGTATCTTCCAATATCTTTAAAGGTTTCCAAGATCGCATTTATCAATGCAGGATTTACTTTTGGAAGGAATTATATACAGTTGCAATCTTAAATAGAATTAAAGATGTAACTCAAAAATCCATCGGAAAAAGTAGTTTTAAAATTAAAAAACCCTCTAATTGATCATCTCAACATCGAGATGTATAAATATAAAAAAACAAATTGGATTTTGATTCTCAAAATGCATCTTACAATACATTATCTAGACCATCTATTTTCAAGATTTCAATATGTCTATAGATCTACCTAATTTTAACCACTTTTGAAGTTTTAAAATTTTATAATTAGATATAATAGATTTTTAGATAATTCTAAAAAAATTTTACACCAAAATTATATGTTCTGATAAGATTTGGAGGTAAACCTTAATTGGATTGTTTAAGGTTGCAAACATATACAAATCACACCCTTTGCTTTTTAGATTAACTCCACAAACGTACCTCCTCCAAAAATTGTTCAAAAATTCCCAAATTATCCTATTTATGATTGGGAGAAAAATATTTTAGTTATTTGGCTCACTCAATGGATTGAGCCAAATTATGAAAGACAACTCTATTTGTTCAAGATTAGGAATATATTAAACGGCTAAAACACCCCAAGTTCCATATGGCTAACCCACAACAGCAATGGCTATTTCCATATTGCACACACCGTGGGCAGCATAGTTCCTCGGGCAAACCCAACTTAGAAGTACTTTTAGTGCTAGGCTTTATAGCCATTTAAAGACCAACAACTTAGAAGTACTTTTTAGTGTCAGGCTTTATAGCGATTTAAAGACCATTAGCTCTTGTTTATTTTATGCAACCCAGTTATTTTTTCAAGGAAAAAGTTTATATAGGCTTGCCACCTTATATTATAGAAGTAAAGTGCACCTCAAAAATCCAATAGAAAAGACTATTCTGAAGTTTGAAAACTTACTTATTAATCATCTTGACCTTGAGATCTATGGTATAAAAAAAAACAAGAATTTCAAATCCTAATAATAGTTCATCTTATAACAATTTATCTAGACTGTTTATTTTCAAGACGTTGAAGTGCTTATAGATCTAATCAATCTCCACTGTCCAAAATTAGGGTTGAATATAAATTTTCAAGCCACCGTGACACCGCAACTACTTCGCAACTACGACTTCCAGCAAAATTTAGAGGTGCACCTTACTTGTATAGTATAAGGTGCGCACCTCATACAAACCTGACCGAACATAAAATAAAATCATTCAGTAATAGAAACTAAAGAAAATTTGCCAGTCTATCATCACACCAAGATATCCTCTAGAAAAATACCAAGGCATAGTACAATAGTGGGCAACCTAAACATTAATGATATTCCTTGGGAAGACTAAAGATGGTAGGCATTACAATCTTATCAGCAATCATTCTCCCAACGTTGGGCATAACGTGCCAATGCAAGGTCAAGTTGAAGTATTTTCCACGAAGATGGTTTCCCTAAAACAAGACATAGAGAAGGTATCTTACAAGTTATAATTATTGAACAAAACTGAAAATAGTGCAGAAAAGGAGGAAAAAGAACTCAAAAACTACCTGATCCGTCAAGGGGTACTTTACTTTGGTTTGAGTTTGCAATATGGCACGGTCTCGTGAAGGGATTATATGATCCCACAGTGAGATCTAAATATAAAATAAAAATGAGGAAATCAATATTAAGCCATCTTCTATAAGTAATGCAGACGACACACGCACATGCGTGTGCAAACACACACACAAACAAGCAAAGCCATAAATAATATTGGAAAAAACATGCAAGTGCACTTGCACGTGCACATGGATTTTCTATCCCAGTAATAGTACACATCTAGCGATATTTTGAAAGAACTGTATTTACCCATGAGTTGCAATTTATTTAGTCATCCAGAATTCTGAGGCAGTGAAGAAATAATCATACAAAACAGGGTTGACACAAAAAGCAAGACATGGGAAATAATCACATAGCGCACAGGGTCTACATGGAGCTATCAAAAGGAGAAGTAAAACATATCGAAATGCATGGCACACCTTCGTTGATGAAAATAAAAAATGTTAACGTATTTTTTGCATTTCCCACGGTAACTGGTGAAAAATTAATTCCAATACAAGTAAGGGCATTTCTTACCAAAAAAACATGGAGCATGTGTGATGATGGTCAGCACTAGCAGGATCTAAGATAGAAAGGTCCATGTGTGTGCATGCACACATGCGTGTGTAATGTGTACAAAGTACAAATAGAAGCTCCAAATCAGAACCCGTTACAATGCCTCGCTAATTTTGGTACATATACACGGTATTACGTGATCCAAAAGGAATTAATGTCATCAAGTTATAGGAACTCCAAGTTAGTACCTATGATTACACCTAACCATCGAAAAAAAACAAATATCTTGGATTACCCTTTTAATAAGATTGGCCAGCAGCCTTTTTAAGAAAAGGTATAATGTGTAGGACTCACAGAGTCCATCACTTGTAGACAAGATTTAGGAATCAAGATCCATTGGGTACATTAAAGACATTGTCAAAAGGGATCACTCATACAAAGAAAGATTGGCAGGAAAATGAACACCATTCGCTATCCCCATGGAAAAGCAAAGGCAGATGAGGCAAAAATAAATGCCACTCAATGCACTCCCGTGTAAGAAAATAGTAGGGAGGTCGTCTTATTCCTCCATGACTGCGCCTAATTTTCTTTCAGAAAACATGACGATTGGACACAGTCTGGCAAATCATAAATAATCGAGAAAGCTAGTAAACGTTCATATGGACATGAACTACCAAATTGCATCATAAGCGCCACCATTGTTAGGTACTATTAAGAAAAACATCGTCTTCCTTTGGATATTGAGAAACAAACTTAAAAGCTCCTAGCTCCATGGATGCATGTACTCCATTAGGTTTAATGGCAATATTATCTTATTTTTCTAAAACAAATTCACAACCAAACATAAGCACACCATATACTACAAACCTCTCTCTTCAAAAGGTTTGGCACGTGCACTTTCTACGCCTTAAAACATGTAGATTTGCAATGTTCTTATACACCTAGAATCTTTTTCAATGAGTTCATCAGTAGACTCGGTCATATCCTAAATCCTATTTAAGTCTTTATAAAAGACAGAATCTTCTGTAGAACCTTTGAGTTATACTCATATAGCCCAACTCAGCTCAAGACTATGCCAACTCCCAGATGGAGCACAAGTTTTTAACTTTAATTCTCAAGCTACAACTCTTCTTTTAGTTGTTTCCTCGATAAGGATATGTAGTTCTTTTCTTGTTTATGTGGAGTGAGGGCCTCATCCTAAATTCAGTAAGACCATAATTTTAATTTCAATTGCCTTCACATGGCATGTCCAAGAGGACTCAAGCTCATAGGACCACGTCGAAGGCTCGAAGCTCTTCATTATTCACTAATCCATACAATTTGGGTTCATGGTTAATCTAAGGTCTTCTTTTCTGTTCCACCTGTTTGTCATCCCACTTTACAGGTGATCAAGGGCAGTTGAAGTCATCCCACGGTAAGATGCAGTCTGATTCTTTTCTCTCTTTTTCAGACCTTTAATTCTTGGTCAGAAGGGCTTTCATTTTTTACTATTTACCAGAAGCAAAGCTTTCTATTAGTATCACACAAGGTGGACCATATCTTTAGCGCCTGACTTTTCACACACAAGATTACCAAGGCATTTTGGCCACACCAGTGGGGAACTGGGGATGCAAACAACATTTTTTGCACCTTCCAGTTTTTTGCTCCACCCTCTTTCTTTCTCATACATGCCACTTGTAGAAACATGTGCCAGATAGATCTAGTAATTTTGGCACAAAAACCCAACCTCCAAGTTTTGTTTTAATGTACTTTTCTATGAATTCAAACTTCTGCTCCACTCAATGGTTCTCTGTTGACATTCTCTCACATTACAGACATTGTTCCAAAAGAAACCATTGTTTGGCTTTGTAACCTGATGTCACTTTTTTTAACTTAGCTTCATCATCAATGGAATGCTCTGCTCCTTGCACACCCTTCAATATACTACTTTATGTAACCTGATGTTTTCCTTTTGCCTGGCAAGGATCTGGGTTTCTAGTTCCGTAGCTGATTCAAAGAATGTATCAGCCAGTGCTTTACAGCAGACACAAAAATATGCTTCCTGACTTCCTCTGCTCGCTAAGCACTTCTAAGCACTTTTGTGAAAATATTATGAAATGTTATTGCATATTCTTCCTAGCTGCCACAAGTGGCATCTTTAGCAATGACTTGGTCACTTCATTTACTTGGAGAAAGATGCACACTTTTGCAGCCTCTGATCATTAAGGATACAACATTCATTTCTATCACTAGTAAGAAATCTATACTCCAGTGTAAACCCATCCAGACAGGACATTTGAAAGGATTGGAGCAAATTGCAGAATTCTTCATAAGCATGTATCTTGCAGGTAGAGCAACTTCCTATTGATCCTCTTCCTCTTATGAATGGATGATTAATTATGGAATTTCCACTTGTAAGTCAGGAATCAGCTGGGTTCCAAGTCGAATCCATTCAGTATAAACCTGGGAGGCCACATCGAGTTTTTTAAGAAAATGAAAATCACAAATAAAGAAAATGACTCCACGACATTTAGTTACTAGGCTAGTGCTAGAATTATTAGAAGTTATGAAAAGTGCAAATTAAGGCATCTCTTTATATCCTCAACACCACTCCTGCCAGTCTTTGATCATAATCATACTACAAAAGTCCACTCCTCCAATATCTCACATAAACTACCATTGCTGTAATCTAATATTCATTGTGAGCATTTGATGTCCATAAATCTATGGATATAAGTACCTGTAGATTATAATGGATTTGTTGAGAATCTCATTAGTATTCTGCAAGATCAAATGACTGAAAACTCAAAAACAAAAAGCTATAGAGATGGAAGACTCATCATCGTCAAAGCCTATCCCGCCATTCTGGTCTATTAAGAGTCATATTCTAAGTGGGGCCCTAAGTCCCTATATCTTTTCTCACTATTTTCAACCATGTCTTTCTAGGCATACCCCTTGCCCTTTTTTAGCCTTCCATTTGAACTAACTAGCAACTCTTAACAGGGGTTGTACTAGGTATGTGCACCATATGGCCAGCCCACTTAAGTCTACTTTCTCTCATCTTGTTACCTATTGTTGCCACACCAATATTCTCCCGAATGTATTCATTTTGATTTCTATCCCTTCTTGTCTTGTCGCTCATCCATCTCATCTCAACTACACTAATTCTATGGGCATGTTCATTGTTCAAAAAAGCGGACCGCCAACGCCTAGGAGGCCGCCTAGGCTGTCCAGAAGGCCTGGGCAGTGGTCCCTAGGCGGCCGCCTAGGCGGTACGGAACCCGCCAAGGCGGGCCACCTAGCGCCCAGAGGCGGAAAAGTTTTTTTTTTTTTTCGATTTTTTCAAGATATAAAAGTATAGAAAGGTGGGCTTTAGGTTCATTTGAAACCTAAACCCCCAAGAAACCCTTTTAGAAAGAAAGAAACCTCCAAAAAATTACATTTCATTTGATCGAATCATCGAAGTGTTTCTCAAAGTTTGGAGTTCGAGCAACCAAAGTAAGTGCAACTTTTAGATTGCTTGTGTTATTTTGAGATGTCTTCTTCAGGCGTTAGTCGGAGTGGAGATCTGGGTTACAGCCCGAATCCAAATGACAAAAATTACTTTAGATGCAATTTTTATGAAAAAGATACAAAAGGAGGCATAAACCGGTTTAAGAAACATCTTGCAGCTATTAAGGGGGATGTTGCCCCTTGTAAAAATGTTCCTGAAGCTATCAGAAAGGAAATTAAGCAATTTATAAGTTATATAAAACAAAAACAAAAACAAAATCCTTGTCATAGATATATTTCTGCTACTCCTAGAAAAAGTGATCCGGGTTGGAAGTATGGGTACAACCCAAAACCAAATGATAAAAATTGTATAAGGTGTAACTTTTGTGAAAAAGATACTAATGAGGGTATTAGCCGATTCAAAAAACATGTTGCTAGTGTTAGAGGTAATGTTGCTTCTTGTACAAAGGTTCTTGAAGCAGTTTGGGATGAGATTAGACATCTTCTGAATTTTGAAGAACTAGAAACGGATGAATATAAGCCTTGTTCTATGGAAGTATCTTCTCCAAGTTCTAGATGGAGTGGTAATCCGGGTTGGAAGTATGGTTATAACCTGAATCCAAGTGATAAAAATCGTATTAAATGTAATTATTGTGGAAAGGATACTGATGGGGGCATTTACCAGTTTAAAAACACCTTGCCGGTATTAAGGGGGATTTTGCCTCTTGTAAAAATGTTCTTGAGGCTACCAAGGAAGAAATCATACAATATTTGAGTTCAGAGAAGCACAAAGTAAAGGGTAGAGCAGCCAAGACTCCTAAGGCCTTATCTGCAGAGACTAGTAAGAGGAAGGTAGAAGAAGAGGAGGAAGAAGAGGCAGATTCAGAAGAAATAGAGGAAGACGAGCGTTATATTGAAGAGGGAGATGACTTTGATGATGATGGCCTCGACTCTGATGCATATGATGAGGCTTGCCCTATTGATATTCCTTCTGATGATGATGATGATGACGACAACGACGACTAAAGACTCTTGCCTCTTGGTGCTGAATGTTGAGTGTTGAGTCTGT